GGAGGTCCACAGAGTAGAGGATTTTCAGCATAATCAAGGGGATCAAAGCTTTGGAGCTGAGTGCCTGTGGGTATTTCGCCAGACAGGTTGTTATATGACAGGTCCAAGAAACTAAGACGATCTATCCGAGCAAGGCTTGTCGGAATTCTTCCATCTATCTGGTTTCAAGATAAATCAAGCGAATCCAATGACTCCAAGTTTCCGATCTCTGGAGTTATTTGACCTGTTAACTGGTTTCTCGAAAGGTTTAAAGAAATCAACCCAACAAGATGAGTGATTTCACTTGGAATCTCCCCTGTTAATCTATTACTTGAGAGATCAATTCTCTTCACAAGGCCCAAAGTGCTTTTGTATGTCTGCATTCTTCCTTTCCATATGAAGCTTGCATCTGGCAACACAACTGGACCTCTCCCAGGTCTTGTGCAAATAAAGTAACTAACATCTCTTCTGTGCCTCTGGGATGGATCCTTGATTTCTTGAGGTGCAGGCAAACTTTCGATAGCCTCTACAATATGGTTTAATGAACAAAATTTTGTACGTTCTTGGTCACCCTTTAAAGATCATCACAACAAAAGGGTTATTTTAAAGGTAACATACCTAGAACATACCCTTGGGGCCCTAGTCATTAACAATCAAGTGCTCTGTTACATTGTCCAAAAGGGTATCTGCTAAAATTGGTGGACATTACTTTCTCAACCAATTTGGACTTCTAATAAGCCACTATCAAGCTGACCAACAAGTTTATGAAAACCAGGTTCATTTGGGTCTAGCCTATCAAGTTTTTTGTTTGTTTTTGGTTACAAGCGATACTGGGATGAGATAATCACATCTAGGACCTCGAGTGTAGGGATAGATGCTCTTAACTGCTTGAGCTACAAGCCCCTTGCTAGCCTATCAAGTTGAAGCAAATGGTCAATGCGAGTATTTGGGTTTGCCTACCAAGTTTTCATTATGGCTCTACAAATGTTTGTAATATCCAAGAGAAAGCAGTTATTGGCCTGCAGGCCTTGATGGAATTGCATATGTTGGAGCCTTTATGCTACACAACACTATATATCTGTTTATACCAAAATGAACAGCCAATGAATACCAAACACG